CTCCATCGCATGCATTTGATCTTGCGATGGCTGGTCTTCTGACCTTGCAGCACAGAGGCTTCTGTGGTTTAACCCGCAGCGCCACCACGTCCCTCTACACCACAACCATCTACATTGATTCAAATACAGTCATGTCACCTTCTGGTTGCTGTACAAGGGTGGAGGGCAGGGTTTCACTGAACTTGGGCTTATTTTTGGGGTAGGGCTTATATTATGAGCATCCTGAAAAATTCTTCGTTTCGTTTAGTCGTTTAGTCGTGTCCGACTCTTCGGGACCCCACGGACCAGAGCACACCAGGCCCTCCTATCTTCCACTGCCTCCTGGCGTTGTGTCAACACACGTAGTCTTCTTTCATCATTGAAAGCATCCAGTTATTTATAAGTCCTGCCTTTGTATCAAAACCGGGAAGAAAGTAGTGAAGGGTGCCAGGACTAATTCCTGGACATGATCCTGTCTCTGATGCATTAGTCAATTGACCAGAGACAAATAGATCCAATACTTTAAACTGCTGAGAAGGACTACCTATTCCACATGTAGTCTTCTTTCATCATTGAAAGCATCCAGTTATTTATACGTCCTACCTTTGTATCAAAACCGGGACGAAAGTAGTGAAGGGTGCCAGGACTAATTCCTGGACATGAACCTGTCTCTGATGTATTAGTCAATTGACCAGAGACAAATAGATCCAATATATTTTTTTATTTTCAGCAGAAAGCAAGCTAATGGACGCAACTTCGCCCGCCAAACATGCGGAGAAGAAGCGCGCGCCCCCCCCTGCTCATTACAGAATATACTTTTATATGTTTAAATGAGAATAAAGAGGCAAGAGGTGGGGAGAAGGGGGAGGGAAAGGGAGGGTTTGCAGGTGGTTGAACTCATTCCTATCAGTTCCATGTGGTTAGACTCCCAAGTCTCTTAACTGTAATCAAGGGCACATTTGCAATTAGGCTAGTATGTTGCAAAGCAAAAACACACACACACATACAAAGGAATTCAAGCAACCTCCCTCCTTTGTTCATTCTTGTCTGTTTAGCAAAGCGTTGGCAGGAAGGCAAGATGGCTACGGTTAGGCTAAGAGAATGAGAAAGAGAGAGAGAGAGATGTGTGTGTGTGTGTCTGTGTCTGTGTCTGTGTGTGTCTGTGTGTGTCTGTGTGTTTTGATTTGACCCCTTCAGTAGGCTCACAAAATTAAAAATCGGTGTATGGGGAAAAACACAAAAAATGTACTGCCAGAACCCAATTCATCAAATTATCCAAGTCTAGAACTAACTATTTTGTTACAAGTAACTAAACTACCTATAACTAGTTACATTTAAGCAATGTAACTGATAGTTGCAAAGTTACTGTTCTGATATAATGAGGCAACACTTTGTTAATTTTGTTTTAAATAGCATTTTAAGGGTCATGTATGTCCCACTTTGATGCCATTCTTTTGTTAGGCCTCTGTGTTTTTGTTTTTTCCATAAATGTTTCTACAGTATCAGATCCCTTGTTGAAGGTCCTTTCTCAGCAATGTCAATTATCAAAAACCTGTCTGGATGAAAAATTATTTGTCTCCTGGCAGAAAAACAACAGTGGAAAAAGTTTACCTTTTTACTATCCTGACTGTGCATTTTTAGTTTAATTTTATTTTATTCAAAGTTTTAAAATCCTACTGGCATAAGGACAGAGTTAAGGCTGTCCTCATGCTGTTTCATGCCTCACAAAGTGAGAAAACAGGAAGCTGAGATGGCAGGTGTTGATAGATGGGGCCATGAGAAGATGTCTTGCAGGTAAACCTTGCCCTTACAGGAAAAATTGCACGCAGCGCATGGAATTTGCAATCTGATTTTATTTTCTCTGTTTCAGTTTCATTTTCAATTGAATTTGGGGAAACTACCTGAACTATTTGTTGTGCTGAGCCATTTCAATTGCTTTTGTTCGATCTGTTCATTGCAAACAGTTGAAACTCTGTAAATTTTGACAATAAACCTGACTTGCAATGAAGGAGTTCAATAATATTGACTCCAACTTGAATTTTGTCTGCTTCGTGATATCATGGTGAGCTAAAATACAGCACGGGAACTCTTCCAATTTTTTGTCCTGATTTTGCTGTTGTTTAGTCGTTAAGTCGAGTCTTCATGACCCCATGGACCAGAGCACGCCAGGCACTCCTATCTTCCACTGCCTCCCGGAGTTTGGTCAAAATCATGCTGGTCGCTTCGATGACCCTGTCCAACCATCTCGCCCTCTGTCGTCCCCTTCTCCTCTTGCCTTCACACTTTCCCAACATCAGGGTCTTTTCCAGGGATTCTTCTCTTCTCATGAGATGGCCAAAATATTGGAGCCTCAGCTTCAGGATCTGTCCTTCCAGTGAGCACTCAGGGTTGATTTCCTTCAAAATGGATAGGTTCGTTCTCCTTGCAGTCCAGGGGACTCTCAAGAGTCTCCTCCAGCCCCACAATTCAAAACCATCAATTCTTCGGCGGTCAGCCTTCTTTATGGTCCAGCTCTCACTTCTATACATCGCTACTGGAAAAACCATAGCTTTGACTATGTGGACCTTTGTCAGCAGGGTGAGGACTCTGCTTTTTAAGATGCTGTCGAGGTTTGTCCTGATACCTTACATTAAACGGGACTAAAAATTACCCCAATAACAAAAGTTAGTAAGTCTGCTGAAACCATTTTTGCCTCTCCCTTCCCCCACTTTCTGTAGAAAACCCCCTCCGTATGGAATGTGGGTGAATAAACTTCCCAATTTTCTAGCCCTCCTTTAAGGCCACTTCTGCATTCTTACCCCAACCCACAACTGTGTGGGAAGAAATACACTCCCCATTTGTGTGTCACAAATGATTTAATGTCTTGATAAGAAGTACAGTATATCTAAAGTATAGCCTGCAGTTCATTTAAATGAAATTTCTCCTTTTCTCTTGTTCGACAACAGAGGAAACGTGACCCTATTTCTACATTTAGTGACAATAACTTGACTGTCTGCATCATGGATTTCTTCGTCGCCGGGACTGAGACCACAGCTATGACTCTGCTCTGGGCCCTGCTCTTCATGGTGTGTTATCCAGATGTTCAAGGTGAGAAAGTTCCTGTAATGCCAAACTGACCTTGTTTCCTGTGAGCACACACCCCAGTAGAGGCGTGCAATTATTCCAGATTTTATCATGGGTGTGTGTGTAACATTTGTTCATGCTGAACCTGTAATTTGCCTATGCAAACATAGCTGGAGAAGCCAAATCTATCTAGTGCATTGCTCGGGCATGGCTTGCGTCTGATAACATATTTGAATTAAAGTATACTGTCCTGGTATGGCTTCTTATGTTTGCATCCAGTGGCTTCTTTCTAAAACCAGCATCACCTTGCTTGTGCTCTCTTTAAAGAAAACAAGTGGGCTTGGAGAGTGGGGGGAGAATGACCACCAAATTGGGAAACTGAATCGGGATGGGAAGGAAGTCTACCTTCTGTGGAGGTTATTTATTTGTTTGTTTGTTTGTTTGTTTGTATATTTATTTATTTAACTTATATGCTGCCCACACTACCCAAAGGTCTCTGGGCGGCTTACAACAATTAAAATACAGTAAAAAAGATAAAACAATTAAAACACAATTAAAATATATACTCTAAAAATTGTCATCAGGACCCACAGTTGATATTATTTCAGTTAAAAGCCTTCTGGAACAGGAAGGTTTTGACCTGGTGCCAAAATGTCATCAACATGGGCGCCAGACAAATCTCCCGCGGGAGGGCGTTCCGTAGTCTGGGGGCAGCTGCCGAAAAGTCCCTTTGTCTACAATCCGTCTCTTTTACCTCCTTGAGGGATGGCTCTTTCAAAAGGACTCCTGGCTATATCTTAACTGCCAGGTTAAGATGGTCTCACCAAGCATATCTGTGAAGGTGGGGGAACTGAGAGAGGATTCTCCCCTGAATAACAGCTTCCGCTTTGATTCCTGCTTTCCTTTTGCTAAGGATTAGCAAGTGGAGGGGAAAGCAGGGATCAAAGGCCTGCAGGAACAATTTGATCCCTGCTTTCCCCTCCACTTGCTAATCCTTAGCAAAAGGAAAGCAGGAATCAAAGCGCTGCCGGATCACTTTGATCCCTGCTTTTCCCTCTGCTTGCTAACTCCCATGGGACGTAGCAAAAGGAGGGGGGAAAGGAACAAAGCAATCCCGTGGCTGTATAAGAGGAGAGGGGATCAAAACGATTGTGCAGTTACAGGATTGCTTTGATCCCTTTCCCCCTCCTTTTGCTAAGTCCTGCGGGGCTTAGCATGAAGGGAGAAAGCAGGGATCAAAGTGATCCTGCAGCGCTTTGATCCCTTTCCCCCTACACTTGCTGAGCCCCATTTAGATTTCTTAATTTTGGGTTAGAAAAGTGGGGGCATCTTACACAGGGGGGAGTCTCATACATGGAAAAATACAGTACTTTGAACTGAGCCCAGGCTGATAGCCAATGTAATTTAAACAGAACCAGCTTGATGTGTCCCCTAGCTTGATGTGTCCCCTAGTATCCCCACTCAGCACCCTCTTTGGAGGAGATGAATGGTCCTTCTTATGCCACTTCCAACATCTTTGCTTCACAGAAACAAAAGGAACCCCATCATATCTAACAGATAAATCCAAGACTTTGTTTTAAAAACCCACAACAACAAAAATGTCTGACAAAGGACAGAAATGCTTTCTGATTTTTAAAAAGTTGTTTTCGGAAACAATCCTCGAAATCAAGCTTCCTTCCCAACGGTTTCCCTTAGAGAAAGTCTATAAGGAAATAGAAGAAGTTTTGGGTTCTTGTCCCTTGATATGCTATGAAGATCAGAAGAACCTGCCCTACACCGCTGCAGTGATCCATGAGATCATACGTGTGCGATACATCTTGATATTTGGCCTTCCCAGGCAAAGCGCGAAGGACGTGGTCTTCCGTGGTTTTCACATTCCAAAGGTAAGGAATAATGGCTGCCTTTTCTGCAGTCCCAAACAGCACGCAAGGCAAGGGTGGAATTTGCATGAGGATGTTGGGAGAAGATGGATCTGCCTCTGCTGATAATACCTTTCGGAGACTTCTGGTAGATATGGAAGGATTTCTGACTTGCAGTATATCAACAACAGCTGTAACAAGAAAGTCCTCCTCTTAAAAGACAGTATTCTTTTAGGAGGCAGTTGAAAACACTTCTTTATTTTTAGTTTTTTTTAGTGAGGCTTTTCAATTTGACCAGGGATGTGGTGGCGCTGCGGGCTAAACCACAGAAGCCTGTGCTGCAGGGTCAGAAGACCAAGCAGTCGTAAGATCGAATCCACGTGACGGAGTGAGCTCCTGTCGCTTGTCCCAGCTCCTGCCAACCTAGCGGTTCGAAAGCATGCAAATGCAAGTAGATCAATAGGGACCACTTTGGTGGGAAGGTAATAGCGTTCCGTGTCTAAGTCGCACTGGCCATGTGACCACGGAAAGATTGTCTTCGGACAAACGCTGGCTCTACGGCTTGGAAACGGGGATGAGCACCGCCCCCTAGAGTCGGACACGACTGGACCAAAATTGTCAAGGGGAACCTTTACCTTTACCTTTTTCAATTTGACCCTGTTTGAGTGTTTCACCTCCCAGGCTCTGCCTTTTGGTGATAAATTGTTGGTGGCAATTTTTTCCCCCCAGTGCTCTTGCCACATTATTGCTGTTTGTGTTCTGTTTTGAGTATTTGTTTGTAATCCTTTGTAAACTGACCAGAATAGTGCTTCGGTACTAAATAAATAAAATGCTGTTTATTTATTTATTTTATTTATTTATTTATTTAATTTATATGCCGCCCACTCTACCCAGAGGTCTCTGGGCGGCTTACAATAATTAAAAATTCAATACAATAAAATGATTAAAATACAATTAAAATACAATTAAAATACAATTAGAATTGCCATCATCAGGACCCACAGTTGTTATTTCAATTAAAAGCCTTCTGGAACAGGAAGGTTTTGACCTGGCGCCGAAATGTCATCAACGTCAGCGCCAGACGAATTTCAGTTGGGAGGGCGTTCCATAGTCTAGGGGCAGCTGCCGCGAAGGCCCTTTGTCTACAAGCCATCCCTCTTACCTTTTTGAAATGAAGCAAGCTTGAGGGTATGACTAGAGGTTCAAATTGTCCTGGCCTGGATCAGACTGAATTATCTCAGCAGGGTCACTTCAAGGTGCAGTGTGGTATTTGGGGTGATCCTTCCATGTACGTGGATCAGGCGGTTTCATGGCAGGAAACCACGCTGCACCTCATGTGACTCTATTTGGCCCACTTCCCCTTTAAGAAAAAGAAAAAAATAACAACAACAACAAAAAGATCCACTATGGCTCAGACCATAGCTAATTAGTGGGTCCAGATTGGATGTTTTGGGTCTCAGGTTGCTGGTTTCTGGGCTTTCCATACCTGTTCTATCACAGCTGCTCATCGTTGTTCTGTCTCAGGTGATGGATTACCACCTGGCCTTGAGGCCAAAATGTCTGCTTGCTTCTGACTTCAGATCTACACCTCTTGGATTTGATGCCAGCAAGACCTCTCCATTTGCTCCTTTCTCTTCAACTGCTATTTAAATTTTTGTCCTCCTTTCACAGATTCGTAAAACCCGTTCAATCATTCTAAAAGGTAGACTCATGAACACAGTTGCTGAGGCGAGGCTTGTCAAGAGGCTATACACGTGACCAAGAACTTTAGAAAATGTGGTTTCTAACTCTTAGGTCTCGTGTGCCCATGAGCAGGCCCTTCTTCAGACAACTCACTACAGTCATGAGGAAACCTGTGATTGACAGGAAGGAGTCTGACCTCTCCCCTCGATGTTCACAACCCTTCTTTTCAATGTGACTAAACTGGAGTAGAGAATTTTAGAACTGGATTGTGTTGTTGTTGTTGTTTTTCTTTATTCGGTCAGGTTGGGGAGAAATATGCTTCAACTTTTAGAGACATATCACAGTATATGTCCTTCCAGATCCAAAATTTTAGCAAATCCTCAGGAGAAATAGGGAGTCAATCCACTTCAAAAGAACCTCTTTTGATTTGAACATCATGTCCTGTGCTAAGCATCACAAATTTTGTTGATATCCTTCTTGGACCTCCTAGAGAAAGCATCACAAACTTTGTTGATATCCTTCTTGGACTTGACCAGCATGGTAAGAAAAGGTCTAGAAACCATGCCCTATGAGGCACAGTGGAGGGAGCTGGGGGGTGTTTAGTGTGAAGAAGACTGAGATGCCGTAGGACAACCATCTTAAAATATCTGAACAGCTGTGATATGGCAGATGGAACAAGGTTGTTTTCTGCAGTTCCTAAAAGTGGGGACCTAAGTTGTGGATCCAAATGATGAGGAAGTAAGTTTTGCCTAAACATTATTGAGAATATCTTGACAGCAAGAGCAGCTTAAGATTTCAATGGATGGCCTTGGAGTATTTTGGGGTTTTTTCACTGGACGCTATCAAACAAATGGCCACTTGTCAGAGATGCTTTAGCTATGAATTTCAGTTAGATCCTTGGGATCCCTTGCAGTTTTATGGTTCCTTCGATTCTTTTCTTCCAAATAAACCCAAGTCCATTTTCCTGGGTTCCAAAATTCATCTGCATGGGAAACAGACTTCATCCATCAACCAGCTCACATGCACACATCTTTTAATGCACAAAACGAGTGCTTAGGTAGTAAAGGATATGTATGTAGGGTGTTGCTATAGGACTGTTCTGACTAATGATGTCTCCTTCTCAGGGAACCATAGTTATTGCCGACCTGCAGTCTGTTCTTCTTGATCCCAACCAGTGGGAAACACCTCACGAGTTCAACCCAAACCACTTTCTGGACAAGGATGGTAATTTCATGGCACGAGAAGAGTTCCTGCCATTTGGAGCAGGTAAGTGTGTAATAAATTTATACTTACACCTGAGAGGTTTCCTTCAGAAGGGTGGAAGATCTTTGGGCTTGTCTATATGTGGCAGAAAGTGAGGAGGAATTGAAGAACCTCTTAATGAGGGTGAAAGAGGAGAGCGCAAAATATGGTCTGAAGCTCAACATCCAAAAAACCAAGATCATGGCCACTGGTCTCATCACCTCCTGGCAAATAGAAGGGGAAGATATGGAGGCAGTGACAGATTTTACTTTCTTGGGCTCCATGATCATTGCAGATGGTGACAGCAGCCATGAAATTAAAAGACGCCTGCTTCTTGGGAGGAAAACGATGACAAACCTCGACAGCATCTTAAAAGCAGAGGCATCACCTTGCCGACAAAGGTCCACATAGTCAAAGCTATGATTTTTCCAGTAGCGATGTATGGAAGTGAGAGCTGGACCATAAAGAAGGCTGATGCAGAAGAATTGATGATTTTGAATTGTGGGGCTGGAGGAGGCTCTTGAAAGTCCCCTGGACTGCAAGGAGAACAACCCTATCCATTTTGAAGGAAATCAACCCTGAGTGCTGACTGGAAGGACAGATCCTGAAGCTGAGACCCCAATACTTTGCCCATGTCATGAGAAGAGAAGACTCCCTGGAAAAGACACTGATATTGGGAAAGTGTGAAGGCAAGAGGAGAAGGGGACGACAGAGGACGAGATGGTTGGACAGTGTTGTCAAAGCTACCAACATGAATCTGACCCAACTCTGGGAGGCAGTGGAAGACAGGAGGGCCTGGCGTGCTCTGGTCCATGGGGTCATGAAGAGTCGGACACGACTTAACGACTAAACAACAACAAATACGTGGCAGTTGGAGCCGGCTGGAGAGAACTACATAGGGCCACTAGGAGGTCCAGAATGCCACTTGATGTGATCCTACCATCCAAATAGCAGGTAGACTTCAAGTGATCCTAATTGGTCTGCCCCAGCCTCCCTACAGTTAGCTTTACATATTGTCTTTTAATGATGTAAACTGCCTTGGCTCCTTATTTAAGGACAAAAGTCGGGTAAAATATTTTACATAATAAAACAAACAAATGATAATTCGTTAGTTAGTCAGATAGTTAGTTCATTCGTTCCTTAGTTCGTTCACCGTTCGTTCATGTTCTGTCAAGTCAATTCTGACTCATGGTGATCCTTTTCAGGGTTTTTGAGGTAAAGAATACTCAGAAATGTTTGACCCTTCCCTTCTTCTGGGGGCATTCTGAGACCACTGTGGAGTTTGTCCAAGAACTTCGTAGCTCTGCTTGGTTGGAAAGGAAAATAACAGTAGATTACTACATAATTGGAAATGGCTTAAGAAACCTTGGCTAATATTTAATCTGTTGAGATATTTTTGTGTCTTTGGACACTCTGAATGCTGGTCTTGGGGATCAAAGGGGAAAACAGATTTGCTTTATGCTCCATATCGAAAGAACAGGTTCTTCCTTATTGGCTGTTTTTTTTTCCTTGATTTCTTCTGCAGGGTCCCGGGTGTGTCTGGGAGAGGCTCTGGCAAAAATGGAGCTCTTCCTTTTCTTCACCCACCTGCTGAGAGCGTTCCAGTTCAAGCTACCAGACGGTGCAAAGAAGCCCAGCATCGAACCTCGATTCGGGTTCGTCTTGCGTCCCCATCCTTATAAAATATGTGCCATTCCCCGCAACAATTCATCATAAAACCCAATGCCTTGGGGCCCGTGATAAATAAATAAATAAATAAATAAAAAATGTACCATGGGTTGTTTATTGCTCAGATTCATTCTGATATAGAACTTCTCCGGTCTGTCCAAACATCTGGCAGATCTGTCAGGTAACTGCTTGCTTCCACTTACACCAGATTTAAGACTGTTCTTCTGATTTCTTATTTGCATGTGGCCAGTCCGTGGAGGAAGCAATTTGATGATTTTTCAAGAAAGAGTTTTAACATCCTGGGTGCGGATGTGGGTGGTATGATTCCCGAGTTAGGTGACACTTCTTTTTTAATCCTCCCTCTTACCCTCTCCTTTTGCTTTTCTCCTTTAAAAAATTATTTTAAAACCCACTGCAAGCATACCCAGGGATGGGTGGATTTATCCATTTCACTTTTTCCTACATATTTTAAGCCTCTTGTGAAGGTGTTAGTGATTTCTAAGAAGTTCAAACACCATTTTGAACTTCTGCTGAACAACATTTTCAGTTTTTTGCTGCTTGCAAAATTTAAGAGCCACTGCTAATTCCATGTTCTATGAGTCTAAGGCTGTAACTACACGGTCATATAGGGCAGGATTTGCTCCACCTATAAAACAGGTGAATTTGATCCAAATTTGAATGCCTACACAACATTTGAAGGCAGAATCAATTCCTTCCAGCCTATTTACAGCAGAACCAGCTTTTCCCCTCTACCTTTAAGGAATAAATGGAAATTGATATTATTGTCTCCTTCATAAAGCATCCTCTGTGTCTGGAGGTGATGCTATGGGTGATGAAGTTCTTTAGCTTTCATCTTCTTTTTGGCCTTGTTGATTGCATTCTGTTTCAAATGGTTAAAAGGACAGAAAGAACTCAACAAATAAGAGGGTGGTGGTGGTCATGGTGCATTCTGTTCTTCTAGGCCATTTCCTGTTGTATCAAAAGTCATAAAAACCATTTCCATGTGTAAAAAAAACACCTGTGAGTAAGGGTAATCCTTAACAGGCAAGACGGTTGAGCACCAAGTAAACTGACGTTAGGCCAGGAGAGCAGGGTGGAATTTCAGTTCCTCCCATCTTAGAGAAGCAGGAAATTACCAAGGGCTATCAATACTTTAAGGGACGTGGTGGCACTGCGGGTTAAACCGCAGAAGCCTCTGTGCTGCAAGGTCAGAAGACCAGCCATTTTAAGATCGAATCCACGGAATGGAGTGAGCTCCCGTCGCTTGTCCCAGCTCCTGCCAACCTAGCCATTTGAAAGCATGTAAATGCGAGTCAATATATGGGAGGAAAGTGATGGCAAACCTTGACAGCATCTTAAAGAGCAGAGACATCACCTTGCCAACAAAAGTCCGAATAGTCAAAGCTATGGTTTTTCCAGTAGCAATGTATGGAAGTGAGAGCTGGACCATAAAGAAAGCAGACCGCCGAAGAATTGATGCCTTAGAATTGTGGTGCTGGAGAAGGCTCTTGAGAATCCCCTGGACTGCAAGGAGAACAAACCTATTTGTTCTGAAGGAAATCAACCCTGAGTGCTCCCTGGAAGGACAGATCCTGAAGCTGAGGCTCCAGTACTTTGGCCATCTCATGAGAAGAGAAGACTCCCTGGAAAAGACCCTGATGTTGGGAAAGTGTGAAGGCAAGAGGAGAAGGGGACGACAGAGGATGAGATGGCTGGACAGTGTCTGCGAAGCAACCAACATGAAACTGACACAACTACGGGAGGTAGTGAAGGATAGGAGGGCCTGGCGTGCTCTGGTCCATGGGGTCACGAAGAGTCGGACATGACTAAACGACTAAACGACGAAATAGGAACGACTTCGGTGGGAAGGTAACAGCGTTCCGTGTCTAGTCGCGCTGGCCACGTGACCACGGAAAATTTCTATGGACATACGCTGGCTCTATGGCTTGGAAACGGAGATGAGCACTGCAACCTAGAGTTAGACACAACTGGACTAATTGTCAAGGGGAACCTTCACCTATCAATACTTTAACATCACTTTCCTCTCCGCATAATGGCTGTGTCCTTTGGATGGAGGAAGTTTGGATCTGGATGTCTGGAGGAAGGAAGGAAGGTGATAAGGCAAGAATTTAATCTGCCCTGGGATGAGAAAGGCAAAGTGAGAAGACATCCTCTCATCCTGTCACCCTGGTAAATCAGTTCTCTGCTCCGAATCTATTTCATAGGTAGAATTAAAGATCCCGAAATGCCACGAAAAGAGCTGTTCCAGTTTGATAACTGTCATTTGGGTACTGAATTGTTTACAGCTGTGATGGCAAAAATAAAGAGCATGCAGATCAGTGCCAACTGATCCTTTAAAAGAGTGGTCGCCAACCTTGGGCCTCCAGATGTTCTTGGACTTCAACTCCCATAAATCCTGGCCAGCAGATGTGGTGAAGGCTTCTGGGAGTTGTAGTCCAAGAAACTCTGGAGGCCCAAGGTTGGGGACCACTGCTTTAAAAGATATTCCAAACCACTCATTTTGTGATCCAATCTTATTACCAGAACTGGAGACTAGAGGGTGCCAGAGACTATGCTACATATGTATTCTTCACCAAGAAGTACTCATAGTATGTTCTCTGTCTCCCTCTAGTGGCCGGTTCTGTTAATACATGCGAAATTAGTTTTTTCTGGATTTTTTCTTTTAATATTTTTAATGTTTTCAAACCATGGATAAACTCTGGGCACTAATCCCACAGATATGGGGGTCCTACTGTACATAGCATGGTATATGTCTCCCTCTAGTGGTCAGTTCTATAACTCAAATCTAAGTACTTAAGTCAAGTCAATATTTTCCTATGAGAGCGGTTCTTAAGTCAAAATGTTCTTAACTCAAGCCGTTCTTAAGTCAAGACCCCACTGTATATATTTCTAGGATTTTTCTTTTAATGTTTTTAATACTTTCAGACTGTGGACAAGTAAATCAGCACATACTGATCTTGTGAATACAAGCGTCCTACTGTAAATCATAACCAAACCAAGGAGGAAAAACCTAAGGATGCCGGTACTTATCTTTTTTTAATCTCTTGTATTGTTCTGTGGAACCTGATACTGTAATAAACATTACACTGGAAAAACATAATGGCCCTTTAAGAAAAGGATCGGTGCAGCATTTTCAAGAAAAGGGACACGGAACATCAGGTGTTAGGTTTTGGGCTACCAACAGTAATGAGAAAGTTCTTTTGAAAGAAAGAGATGGATTAAAAACCTCAACTTCATGAGGATAGAACAATGACATTGACTTTCAATTGATGAAATCCAACAAGCGATTATATTTTGGAGCCACTCCTTGGTTGTTCCTTGGTTTCACATTTAATTTAATATGGGATTTTTCTTCAGAGGTGATCTGTGAAGCTCTTGATTAAAAGGGGTACCAGGTAACATCTGTTCCTCTTCTACAGAAGAGAGCAGATTTCCACTCTGCTTGATTCTTCAGTGCTTGGTTTTGGATTTTACACATTGTGGGTTTTGATTTGTTCAGAGACATTTTTAATTTGTTTAAAGGAATGTATCCTATAATTTAATTGCATTTCAGTGAGGTTTGATTTTTAGCCTGGGATTTTGAACTTTACCTCTTTGGAGAGGTGAAGACCACCACCGGCTTGCACGTCCATCCTGCTTCATTAAAACAGCCAGAGGAGATCTGGCTGAGTGGGCAAAGAGAGTGGACAAGGCCTTCTTTGAGAAAGCAAGATCCCAATCTGCCTGAAAGAGGCTGTTGGATGACCCTTGTTGAAAAAGTCCACCTCGAACCCCACCATGCTGGATAACTACCATCCAATCTTTGATATTCCAGTACTGTATTTTTTCGGTTTATAAGACACCCCCATGTATAAGCCTCCCCCCAATTTTGACCTTTTTGAGCCCAAGTGCCCAAATCTGCAGGCACCCTCCAGGCTGGGACGTCCTCTGGAGGGCACCCAGGGGATGCCTTTTTCCCCCTCCCCAAATATAGGCAGGGCCTTTGCCTGGGCTTCCTGCGCTGTACTGTGCTGTGCTCTAACCCGCTCGCTCGCTCACTCGCTCTCCTGCGGCACCAGAGTCAATGGGCAGCAGTGATTTTGTGCCGAGGGGCGGCCAGTTGCAGCTTCTCCTTTGCCTCCTCCTGCTGCTGCTGTTGCCGCTTGATCACCACCTCCACCACCACTCGTGGGCTCCCTTCGGGTGGGGGACAAGGTGGCGAGGTGATCTCGAGGTAAGTCCTGGCTGCGAGTGGCGCCATGTTCTGCACTGGGCTGGCATGGGCAGCAGTATCAGCATGGCTCACGTGCCCACAGAGAGGGCTGTACGTGCCAGCTGTGGCACATAGGTTTGGCTTACTTCTGTGTATAAGACAACCCTCAATTTTTACTGTAACTATTTTAGAAAAAAGTAGTGTCTTATACATGGAAAAATACAGTACATCAGACAAAAAAACCCACACATAAAATGAAAGAATAAGAAACAAAAGCTTTGTGCCACCTTAAAGACTAATTAATCACTATAGTTCAATGGGCGCTTTCATGGATCAAGTCCTCTTTCTCAGACATTACACTGAGACCGTATGACCATAATATTTATACATGGCTCCATGACCAGGTGAAGATACAGATCATGGACATAGTGACAATGGACAAAATGCTATTGCATAATTTTGTGCCTGGTGCAACTTGGATTGCACACCAGAAACATTTAATTTACGGTGTGACTACACTGACATGTGATGCAGGAAATGCTATGAGATTATGATGTTCTGATTTGCATTTTTTTCATATTGACCCCATGAAATAAAAACCAATTTTAATCAGACTAGACTTTCCCCACCAATCAGTAATTTTCCCTCCACTGCTGGGGCTTCTACTTTCTTTGACAGTGGATCCATTTGCATCATTTCAGGAAGTCTGATAACTTCAACCAATGCAGAAAACAGAACATCAGATGAACAGAGGAAGAAAGACTGAGGAAACATACAATACATTGACAAACACACGATTGCAAGTAATTTATATATGTATATATATTTATAGTGCTCTCACAAGACCAGATAGGTGGGATATAAATAAAATAAATAATAATAATAATAGGGACGTGGTGGCACTATGGGGTAAACTACAGAAGCTTCTGTGTTGCAAGGTCAAAGACCAGCCATCGTAAGATTGAATCCACGTGATGGAGTGAGCTCCTGCCAACCTAGCATTTCAAAAGCATGTAAAAATGTGAGTAGATAAATAGGTACCACCACGGTGGGAAGGTCACGGCGTTCTGTGTCTAGTCACGCTGGCCACGTGACCATGGAAACTGTCTACGGACAAACGCTGGCTCTACGGCTTGGAAACGGGGATGAGCACCACGCCCTAGAGTCGGACATGAATGGACTAAATGTCAAGGGGAACCTTTACCTTATATATATTTATATATTTATGATAATTGGTTGCGGGGAACAGCACAGAGTTTATAAGGGTGGGGATGCATGGCTACACCTACTACAGGTTCTTGATTGAGTTTTTTAACTCCTTCCGGCAGCTGGAATCTGAAAGCCCTCACCAAGTTGGTAAAGAATAGGAAGAGCTCCATCTTCGCCATCTGCTCTCCCAAACAGATCCGGGCCCCTGCAGAGGAAATGAAGATTGTGGTTGTTCTTGTCTTAGCATTGCTGGGTCAAGCCTATAAAATTAGGAGTCAAGTCCTAAAAATTTGCAGGTGAAATGACATATTTGCAGAATCTAGGTTTTTTTGTTTTTTGAATTTCAGGTAACCAATTAGCAAATGCTGGCAGCTGTTTTAAATTGGTAATCCAAGATTTTGGAAGGACTCCAGTTGCTGAAATTAGCCTGGGAGGAGGATGGCCTGATCCTGCTTCCATATTCTTTTCACTTCTTATCTTAATCTTTGCTACTTAGCAATGTATGTATTTTCTGCGCTTTTGAGTCTGCTTGTTGATGCAACTCCAACTTCTATAAGCTAAGTCTTTCTTTGTTGCTTATCCAGAAGTATAATATCCACTTTATTAAACATCAACTAATTTATCCATGATCATTTGTTTGCCCCAGTACAGTATTGTGGGTTCATCTTCCGAAACTGAAGGCAGATGTGTAGCCTGCATAATTAACTTGTAAACCACCCAAAGAGTGCTTGAAACGCTATGGGGCGGTATATAAGCAGCACGCTTTGCTTTGCTTTGCAACTGGAAATTATAATATGGGCGGGGGGGGGAAGAGAAGTGATATTTTAAATATTTTTAAATGACCCTGTAACAGCTGAGTAACTCACACTGCAACCAAAAACAATCACACCTCCTAGGCAGAAAAATTTGCACTTCCCTGTGCATCATGTAGCCAGAATTTAAAAAATTGGTTTCAAGCATGCTGAAGCCCATTCAAAAACAGGTTGTCGTTGTGTTTTATTTTACATGTAGCGACATCTTTGGATATTACATGCTGAAGCCCATTCAAAAACAGGTTGTTGTTGTGTTTTATTTTACATGTAGCCACATGTTTGGATACTACACATCTGAAAGGGACCCTGCTGAAAGGGACTCTGTGGATCATCAAGTCCTGCCCTTGCCAAGGAGGCACCATAGGGGAAATCGAACTCCGAACCTCTGGATCTGCAGCCAAAGACCAAAACCCCCGAGCTATCCATCAGTTCTAATGATGAAGCCAGGCCATTATATTTATTCTTCCTAAAGGTAACATCCCATGCTCACCTCCAGAGTTCATCCCATCATCATCACTGACTGTCCCTCAGCATCAGCCCTCAGAGTAGAACATTTACAGGCCTGAGCAGAACAAATGTTCTAATGTGCAGCCATGATGTTCAGGTGTGTCAAAATGCTGAGTCGCTGTGACTCAGGAGGGCTGGCTCAAAGATGATGCAACATCTGTGCTGATTGGACACAGCCAGAGGCATAAGTGTATATATGTGGGCATTGCAGAGAAGATGTATTCCTGCTCTTCTGATGAATACATGGTGTCATGCTGTCGCTCTATAGATCTGTAAATATCCTGTAAATATATGTCTGGTGGTGGAAGAAGCTGATTGTGTCTGTGTGAGTCACAAGGACCTTGAAGTTATTCTGCAAAAACTTTTCCGCGTGTTCACGCACTAACAATTTTTTAAAAAAATGCTTTTATTTCTTTTTAATCAGGTTTAGGTATCTAGCCACAGAGCCAGAGGTTGGGAGTTCAATCCCCCCATTCCTTAACAGGGGTTGGACTAGATGATCCCTTCCAGCTCTGCCATTCTAAGATTCTAAGAACAAACCGTACACACTTAAAACACACTTATGTAATGAAGAGATAACAACATAGGGCAAGGCAGCTGAAGTAATAAAATTAAGATTAAAAAACTCAGTACTGAATGAATTATGCAGAGTTTGCCGGATGTTTACATGAGGGCTCGGTGAAGCTGGCACATCAGATGGCCGTATATAAATTGACTTGAATGAATGAATGAATGAATGTTAATATTTACATAGCTGATAAGCAGATTATCATATTTCATGAAAAGGAGCTGTGGAATTGTCTGCATAAGGGAATGCAAACTCCTTTAGTTTACTCATCAGCTGCTTGGCAAACGTCAGCGTACAAAGTTGGGCAAGAGAAATGAGACAAAGCTTCCCACTAAGGGCTAATTACTATTCTAGTGATTGACGGGAATAATCGCCAGAGAGGTAACAAATTTGACTTTGCATAAAGAAATCTTTATTACAAGCCCAGTGCGGAGCATAAAGTAATCTGGGTTCGCCCCACCTCCTCTGAGTGCTGCCTCTGAGTGGATGCCTGATGGAAGAGGCAGGGGTTCGAACACCGAACGCCCATTCGGCCCAGAAACAAACCGACACGAACTGCTGAATCGCTAGTTCGGGCCCACCTCTATTTGTTCTTACACCAATTTTGCTGAAAATCATTTCCCAAAAGGTACGTATTTTGCTACATGACCACTGCATGTGAAAATAGGAACCATTTCGCCTGCTCCCCTCTTCAACTTTTTGAACCAATGGTAATATTTGATTTAAGCAGATCTGAATCAGGTACTGCTTAACTTTGGCAAACCCTGATTTAGACAGTGATTAAAGTAAGATTGAAGGGTGTTCTAGTTCTACAATATTAGTTGTTCTCCTCTCTCCTCATAAGTTGTTCTCCTCTCTTCCAATTGAGTCTTGTTTTTCCTTGAAACAAGCCACTGAATTTGATGACACATATATTCTACCTTTACCTGCTCCAAAGGGTAAAAATTCTTCTCTTGCTACAAAATTTCCCTCTATGTCCAAAAAGTGGCTTGGGTTGAATTCTCCAGGTTCTTCCCACCTCTTGTGATCAAGGAGAGCAGAGTTCAGGTCTGTAACAATAAGGGTTTTCTGAAAAGAGGAAAAACGTGACTCAGAATGTGTCTGGACCAGAATGTTTCTTTGTCTCAGCAATGGTAGCATTTCTGTCTTTTCCTTGAGGAGACCTGGCCACACCATCGGGTAGAGTGGTTAAGGAAGTGTATCAGACCATCGAACTGAAGTGCATCGGTTCTGCATAAGCCGCACATAGAAGTCAACAAAGACCGTGCTGTCTACACAGGAGGATAATACAATTAGTGGGTGCTTAAAATGGCTCCCCGCTGTGCTTAGGGACGGATTCCTCGCTATGCAGGCAGCGGAAATGGCTGCCGTATGGAGGATCTTCACTGGACAGTGAGTTTTTACCCCATTGGAACACATTGAACAGGTTTCAATGCGTTTCAATGGGGTTTTTAATTTCTCTTTACGATGTTTTCGCTTAACGGCGATTTTCGTGGAACGGATTATCATCGTTAAGCGAGGCACCACTGTACATTTTAGAGCTGCATGATACAGAAATATGCATGGTAGAAAACAGGGGGAGAATCGTCTCTTCCTCTCTCCTCATATTCGAATGCAGGACCATCCAGTGGAGCCAAATATCTGGAAGTTACAGATGTGAAAAAGAAAGCCTGGATCTATTCGTATCACTTGTTCTAGCCAAGAGGGGCAGCTGAGGAGCCTAACACCAAGGGAGGCCCGGAAGGAAAAAAAAACGGGCCTTCTCAGCAGTGGCTCCCCGTCTTTGGAATAATCTCCCCACCAAAATCTGCTTGGCCCCTTCACTGGATATTTTCAAAAAACAACTCAAAACCTCGCTATTTAGGCAGGCCTTCCCTCCAGACACCACTTGATTTATCTTTTATTTCCGTCTTGAATGATTGTTCACCGTTGTGAAATTGTTGTTATATGTTAACTGTTTTTATTCTATTTGATGTGAGCCGCCCAGAGTAGACATTGTCTAGATGGGCGGGATGCAAGTTCAATAAATAAATAAATAAATAAAAATAAGAAGCACTTCCATCTTCACAAAATCCATTGACTGTGCAATTCACTAGCATGAGATGCTAAGGTGGGCATCAACTTGGCTGACAGAGCAAAGACACATTTATGGAGGGTGAAACATTCAATGTTTGTTAGTCATGATGGACAGTATGATAATGAAATTGGTGAGCGCTCCGGTACTGGAGGCATTCAAGAGAAAATGATAAAATGATCAAGCCAGTGAATCGTAAAGAAAATATCCTTAAAATGGTTTATAGATGGCACTTTACCCCTGTAAGACTGGCAAAAATGTCAGAAGGGATCAGCAATGTTTGTTGGAAATGTAAAAAAAAATCCAGGTACTTATTACCATATGTGGTGGTCATGGGAAACAGCAAAAAAAATTTGGATACAGGTTTGGGAAATGGCAAAAGAGATTTTTCAAAAAAAAAAAAGTTTTAAACCTGAAATGTTATTATTGAATATAATGCCAGAAATTACTGACAAGAAAATAAAATATAGTCTACTGTATATATTCACAGCAGCTAGGTTACTCTGGGCTCCAAAATGGAAGAATGTAGAAACACCAATGATGGATGAGTTGTTAAAGAAGCTATTGGACATTGCAGAACTAGACACGCTTTCAGAGGCATTACGGGACCAGCCAAGAGATTTTGTGAAGCAAAGCTGGAAGTTGATATATAATTGGGCCCAGAAAAAGACAGGAACTTAGGGGGGAAATTAGTCAATAATGAAGCAGTGCTCACTGGAATCCGTTGAAGATACTCTGATGACCAGATTACAGTGAAATCTCTGATCCACAGAGGAAGTGGGGATGTTTAATTGTGTGGGGTTTTTTTTGTAAGTTATTTGTTAGATTTTTAAATGTCTTTAAATTTTGTATGTTTAGATATGAATGAAATGTTAAAAAAGAGAGAGAAATTGGACAACTATTTGTCAGAGATTTGCTTTGATTTAGATTCCTGCATTGAGCATTATAGGGGGCTATTATAGCATTATAGGCCCCTTCCATTATTCTATGATCATATAATGGCTGGCTAGCAGCTTGATGCCTGGCCATTATCTTCCATTATGCTCTTCCATTAACATTCATGTTTTGGTGCCATTTTCATCTCTTGACGTGTAAAATGACTGATTCAACGCTTATACTGGAGTTAGTCACTGGTCAAAAGAAATCAACCGGTCCAAAACATTGAAGAAAGTCTGAGTAAGCAGCATACTGAAAGGTTGACTGCATTTGAACAAAGAAGCAGTTGAGACCATGAGGTCCTTCCTTCACTCCCATCACCTTCACAAAAACGTTTAGTAGGGAGGTGAGAGAGGTTCTTGTCAGTTGCTGCTCTCATATCTATCTATTTTTAACCACTTAGCAGCCACTAAGAGGTTAAAAATAACATGCCACCTCCTGTTGTCTTTCTAGGACAAGGAAGGAACTCTGTACAAGCTTTCCTACAGCATCTGACTGGCCACTGAGGAAAGGACTTTTAATCATCATCATCTTAGAATTGCAGAGCTGGAAGGGACCCTAAGGATCATCAAGTTAGCATCTGGCAAGGAGGCCCGGGGGGGGAATCGAACCTCCAACCTCTGGATCCACAGCCAAAGAGCCAAACCACTGAGTTATCCAGCAATTCTTTTAGATAGATTGGTTCTGTGCTTTCTTTCTCTTTTTATTAGTGCATTTTAAAATTGCCTTTTAATTCAATGATGATCTAATGCTATAGTTTAATGTAGCTTTAAAAGGCTACATTAATGTAGCTTTTTGTTATTTGTTAGATTTTTGACTGTTTTGTACCTTTTTAAAAAAATCTATATTTTCCTGCATCTGTTTTAGAGGTGTTGTCAGCCAAATTGGGTCCCAGGTGAGGGACAAATATTTATTGCTTGGTTGGTTGGTTGGTTGGTTGGTTGGTTGGTTGGTTGGTTGGTTGGTTGGTTGGTTGGTTGGTTGGTTGGTTGGTTGGTTGGTTGGTTGGTTGGTTGGTTGGTTGGTTGGTTGGTTGGTTGGTTGGTTGGTTGGTTGGTTGGTTGGTTGGTTGGTTGGTTGGTTGGTTGGTTGGTTGGTTGGTTGGTTGGTTGGTTGGTTGGTTGGTTGGTTGGTTGGTTGGTTGGTTGGTTGGTTGGTTGGTTGGTTGGTTGGTTGGTTGGTTGGTTGGTTGGTTGGTTGGTTGGTTGGTTGGTTGGTTGGTTGGTTGGTTGGTTGGTTGGTTGGTTGGTTGGTTGGTTGGTTGGTTGGTTGGTTGGTTGGTTGGTTGGTTGGTTGGTTGGTTGGTTGGTTGGTTGGTTGGTTGGTTGGTTGGTTGGTTGGTTGGTTGGTTGGTTGGTTGGTTGGTTGGTTGGTTGGTTGGTTATCTCTAGTTCCCTGCTAAATATCAACAGGGAGAGGGCTAGGCCGAGTTCCTCTGGAAGCTGGTTCCCTAAAGTTCAAGCCACCGCAAAGAAGGCCTCTTGTAGGGGATTTATAGGTCTCCTTCGGGGTGGCCACCCAGAGGAGCCTTGATGGAGATCATCTTGTGGGTCAGGCAGCTGACATTAAGAAAAGATGCTCCGAAAAGGAAGGAAGGAAGTGCATCCTGGATTAAGCTTATATCTATATATC